TCACCTTTAATTCGGATTTGAGAGTCGCAGAAGAGTTGCCTAGTGTAGGGTATCCATGTGAATTCATGAGCCGTTGCCTCTCATCATAGATGAATCAGCACTGTTGGGTCCCTGCGCAGGCTCAGGGCTGTCACACTTCAACGTGTATCCAACAATATTTGTTCTCTTGGAAGACAAGTAGATTATGGTATAAATGTAGAATATATATTTTGCAGCCCAAAACTGCACATGAAAGGTATGCTAAATATTGGAAAAGCATGTTTTTCCATGCTGCAATGACATTAAAAATGGACCAGCACTGTACGTACAATTATATTTTATAAATGAAAATTGCAGAATGGAGAATGCTTTTCAATTCATCTATTGGGATTTTCTTTAAGAAAAAAAGACAGGAAACATGGAAACGAAAGGATCCCTTCATGGTTTCAAAGTTGCTGACTCATATCTGCAGAGTGAAACATCTCTCTCCCCTTTTCTAGGCAGACTTACACAGTTACAGTCTCCCACTTCCCAGGGGCGCTGCTCGCTCCTTCACTGTCGGAGCTGTGAAGAGCAGTGAGTTGCGCGTCGCGCTCCAGCTGCCCTTGCCATAGCTTCACAATCACCTCTCCTGTGCTGGAGAGAGGGAACGAGTTAAACACAAGAGCATCCTCCGGGATAAGTAAGGAACCTGCAAGCAGAGCTCATGCAAGTCGGTTTGTGATAATTAAATCCGACAGTAGCCCTTTAATTTAAAGTAAAGCCAGGTCTCTACAGCTGCGTCCACTTTGCAGCCAGAGTAACTGAAGGAGGAACAGCAAGAAGTGTCCAAGACCTCAGCGGGAACTCACATCTGAATGTGATTAATACTCATGGTTTTCTCCGTTCCCATCCTGATGCAAACCACGAGGCCGGTCCTCTCCCTAGCGATTGACATAATCCGATGAGTGCGCGGCTGCAGCAGAGCAAGGCCTTGCTGCTGGAAGAACATCCCGGTGAAGTGCTCCTGTAAGCACAGAGACTGAGGCACTTGGAACTACAGTTTTGCCTTTGAGCACTGCGGTTATCTGGGGAAGTCTCTAGTGCTCCTTTGATGGGTTGCCAGACCTTGAGCACGCTGCGAGCTCCGCTGTGGAGGAGAGGCTGGGGGCCTTTCCGTCCTTCGTGAGCTACAGGAGCTCAAGGCAAGCAGTTTTGCAATGGGCACGGCACGGACAGCAGAGGCTCGCGGAACCCGAGTGGTTTTCCCTCCAAGGGGCTCCTCTTCAGCAAGGCAGAGGCTGCTGTCAGGAAGGCAGGTCATGGCCGAACGCCAGAGAAGGTGACAAGCGACAGTCCCTCCACTGGGGACAGTCCCTCCATTGTCGCATTGGGAGGGACATCTGGCAAAGGTGACAAGAGCCTCCCCTGCCAAAGGGGAGCTTGGGAGGATGCACCTGGACTGTAGGAACTGGGGTGAGAGCTGCATGTTTTCCTGGGGGAGGGGTCCCGCCAAAAACACGGATCACCTTCTGTGAGAGAGAGGGAGAGCCCCAGAAGAGGAGGAACTACGTACAGGACAGAGGCTCTTGGATATCCCTAAAGACTCTAGCTTGAGGTAGACGAATGCTGGGGATATAAAGTGCTGTTCTGTCAGCCGTGCCCTTGAAGGCTGTGAGGCAGGAGGGCCGTAAGTCACATTTGATGGGCAGCAGTGACACGGTGCCCTGGAAATATGGTAGGGGCAAGAAAGAAGCAGGGTTGCAGATCGTTCGCCTCTGCGGTTCATAGAAATGTTTTATAGCTCAACTGCCACAACTAGCTGGGTCCAAAAAGCAACTTCATCAAACTTCTCACAGAGGCACATAAAAATAATGAAATAGCGGATTACGTTTTAGAGCGAACCTTTTTCCTTCTCCTCTATCTGCTGGCTTCTCATTCTGATATATTGTTACTGTGCCTGGTACCAATAACAGCAATAACATAGCCTGAGCTATTACACACGTAAGATGGGACTTTTACTATCTCCATATCCCAGGAAGCACGGAAGGGACATGATGTACCCCACAAGAGCCTCTTGGAGAGGTAGCCGTGTCTCCCGGGATGTTTGCAGCTTGGGAACAACACAGGTCTTCTATAGGCAGCACTTTTGGAATGACATTATACATTAGATTTAGGACCCCCCGTAACATTTACTTTCCCAGTGAGCCGACGTGCTCCATTTGACAGCGACGGGCCGTGGGTCACGGGCAGCGCGACAGAGGCGGAGCGGAGCAGCGGCCCCGGCGTCACGGGGTGAAGCGTGGGTGGGTGCCGAGGGGGAGCCGCCACATCTAAGGGAGATGCAGAGGGAGATGTGTGAGATTCGGGACGGGAAAGGAAGCAGAGCAGTTGTCCCTGGCTGGGGTTGCTGCGCGGTCGCTCCCTGCGGATGTCTGCAGAGGTCCCTTGCAGGTCCCTGAGCCCTCCCCAACGAGCTGGAGAGGGAGCAGGAAGCGCTGGGCTCCAGCAGGGAGTGGGAAAAACCGAGATGTGGAGGCAGGAGCAAGTCTTGGTCTAGCTGGGGGAGGAACAGGCAGTGCTTTAAAAAGGGAAATCTCCAAGTGCGGTGAGGAAAGGTCTGTGATTATTCCCTTTTCCTCTTGTGAGGAGGGAAAATATCTGAGCCTCTGGTGAAATCCCTCCTTTTCTGGGTCGGTTCTTCAGCTCACACTTAACCACAGTGAACCGAAGAGGGCTGGATGTTGTATTTAAAGCTAAGCACAGGCAAAAACAGGGACTGAGGAGGAGGTCTGCGCTGTGTTATCCCGAGCGCACGCGCGCCCTGATAAGATGCTGCTGCGACAGTCCAGTTACTCCTGACTTTCCACGTCTATTTGGTCACAGTCCGGCCCAGCATATATTCCTATCTCTCTTAGCTTAATTTAGTTAAGGTGTTCACTGCCAAAAAGTACACCGAGGTGACTTATCTGCGATGTGCCTGCTCAGGAATACAAAAGTAATGAAACTCTCCTGGTTGTTAATCTGCCTTTGAATAGCAGAGATTTATCAGCTGTGTATGCTAATGAGGGGATGTATTTGCCTAATCTGTTTTCTCACGGTGTCATTTGGAAAGTGAAATGTATCTGGTTGATGCCATTTTATCTTGTGGCTGCAACCCCCTGGTAACTTTCTGCTCCCCTTCCTTGACCCATAAATAGCATTAAAAAGCCCTTCACATGGTGCATAGACTCGTGAGGGGTATTTTTAACCTATTGCACTCAACCATATTTGGTTCTCTTCCCAAAATACTAATTCCCTGACATGCGCAGATACTCTGTGTTAGGTTCTTTTTTTTTTTTTTTTTTTGCCTCTGAACAAAAGAATGTAATATATTCTGAGTGAATTCCATGCCATCACGTACAGAGTGAAACTAGCCTTTAAAGAAAATCTGCCGCTTCCGCAGAACGCTGATTCTCTTCTCTTTCTGCATTTATTATCCCAAATAGCCATGTTCATTTCTATTTCTGTGCTAAAGTTTGCAAGACCGGGAAGGAAAAAAAATATGAAATTTTGTAGTGTAATGATTGCAATGCCTGTAAATATATTATGTACTCCTTACTGCAGTGGGCCAGATTTTCTGCTGGGTGACTTTGGCTTGCACAGGAGAGGAGCAGGAGTGAACAGGAGTGAACCTCTGGATCCCCCGCTCAGCCTTGGCCCTCTGCTCTTCTTTTCTTTTCACCTAGCAGTTTTTATAGGAGGGCTGTATACATGCATATCACCGTTTCCCTGGTCCAGACCGTGTTCCCCCATCCAGGCTGCAGCCTAGAATTTAGTTTCCCATGAACTGTTTTTCATCGCGCCAAGTTTTGTGTGTAATTATATGCATTTTTACACTTCCAAGCGCGATTTGCGGTTCCCTTTCTGCGGCTTGTTTGGTAAGTGATGAAAACAACTCCCACTGCTCAGTTGTTCCCAGCTATTTAGCGCTGCCAAAGAGGATCTGTCCTGCTCTAAGGGAAACAAAGCTTAGTTCGTTCTCCTTGCCACAGCCTAGAAAGCAGGTCTGCTGTCCCTTGAGCTGTTCCCACTCTAGTGAAACAGCACTGCACGATTTTTGCAGTTTTCACTTTATTTTTGCTTTCTTAATCCCCCAGCTCCCAGGGGCCAGCTCTGCTTTAAGAGCCCAGGAACCAACATCCTGAGGAAAGTCGGTGGCCTCGGGGCTCCTGTGTCCTTCAGCGCTTTTGAAATGCCTCATCCTTCCTTAAGAATATTAATATCAGGGCCATGGAAAGGAAAGTCTTCAAAAGAGAAATAAATGGCATAAGGAGCTATAAATAGGCAAAAAGATATTCCAGAATCAACATCCTATTAAATCCTTTTTCTCAGGGTAGATTATTTAAAATGTAAAATATTTGCCTAGTGGGTGCCTCATTTCAATTTTTTTTTCCCTTGATGGAAAGAGGGAAGAGAGGGCAAGGTAAGTAAGCAAAAGGGATATGAAACGGAGTGGAAGAAAGGAAAGGGGCAGCAGGCGGGGAAGTCCCCGCACTAACAGAAGTGTTTGCTGTATTAGAAAGATGTCCTGTGAGCTAATAAATGGAACATAGGTTAAAGAGGAGGGGAAAAAGAGCAAAGGAGGAAAGGAGACAAAAGGAAAAAAAGTTCGAAAAAACAAAGTGCAAGTAGGTTAAATACAGATGTTACCTGAAGAGAGTGTTTACAAGCATAATAGCTTTTTCCCAGTTTTGATAAGAAATATGGATTTCTTTTACCCTCCTCATCCCTTCCCCACAAATATGTTTTGCTCCTATGTCCCGCCATGGAGGACACCATCAGAGCAGATACCCGTTTTGGACCTGCTGGGGATAGGAGGGCATATGCTGCAGCCCCATGTTGCTCTAGGGATTTTGTCCATTTTGGTTGCACTGGATCTAATGGACAATGATCTTCCAAGATGGTCATCAGAAGATTTTTTTTTTTTTAAACCCTAAGTGAGAGTGTGGAGCTATGGCTGCTCTTCAAGGTTTGGCATTCCTCTCTTGATCTCTATATAGATTTCCGTGTGGATGGGGACATGCTCCACATGAGGCCAGGGCAGCTGCTACGAGGCTCCCGTCTGTCCAGGTCTTCTGGAGTGCAGGGCCATATCTCTGCTAGTGACCAAGCTTTGCTCAAGTCGGGGTTGTGGCCCAGAATGCCACCATGGGTTTTGGGGGTGTGGGGGTGAGTTTTTTCTTTTTTTTTTTTTTTAGCAGTTAAATGCAAACAGCAGTAGACCCAAAAGTGAAACAGAGCGAGCGGATTTCTGAAGCCGTTCAAGACGCCTCCAAAACACAGTGGGATCATCTGGAAAGGTCCCTGCCATCCCTGCTGAGGATGAGTACCTGCAGGAGGTGGTGGGGCCTTCCTCGTGCACCATCTCCCCCTCTCCTGCAGCCGAGGATGGGGGGGATGATCCCTTTGCCCCAGAAGGTAGCACAGACCCGGCCCTGCCAAGCAGAGCAGGACACGGTCCCGCTCTTGTATCTGCGTATGCCATGCAGGGCCGGGGCAGAGGATGGTGCCCCGGCCTCGCAGGTGCCCCATGGACCAAATCTTCCTACTTATCAAACCCGCTGCAGAGAGAGGGCAGGACATTGTGGTTTGCACCTGCTGAAATGTGCCCAGCCGGTTTTGCTCCGTCTGCTTGTGTTTCCCTTCCTTCCTTTTCTCTGCCTCTCCTTCCTTGCTGCAGTCCTTCCCTATAGACATGTATACGCTGCACAGGAGCCCCCCACGCCACCCTGCCCGTACAGCCACCCGGGTAGCGCTGACGCGTGTGCGTGTCCCCCGCAGGCCGTTCATCGTGCTGCCTCCCCTCATGGAGTGGATCCGGGTGGCCGTGGCGCACGCCGGGCACCGCCGCAGCTTCTCCGTGGACAGCGACGACGTGCGGCAGGCGGCGAGGCTCCTGCTGCCCGGCGTGGACTGCGAACCTCGACAGCTAAAGTAAGTCCCCCCCGCAGGCCCCGGGCGCCTTGTGCCGTGTCGGCCTCCCCTTCCCGAGCGCCGGGAATGGAGCAGGCGGGCAGCGGGCTCCGCGATTCCCTCGGAGGCGCGGGGATGCTGGCGCTCGGCGCTGTGGGCGTTGCAAAATCCGCTCCGGCGTTCGCCCGCCTCCGCGGAGAAGCCGCTTGCGCGGCCATGGGCGCCTGGGTGTCACAGAGCGGGATGGAGCCCTTGGTCTGCTCGGCGGAGCCGCTGCTTTCGCCTGCCGCCCGGTCGGGCTCCGTAACGAGGGGCTGAAATCCTCTGCTAATTGCCTGCTCCGCGCTGCTCCGGCGTGAAGCCCCGAGATGCGCTTGGCAGGGCTGCACGGACCTCTCGGGGCTCTGCTTCCAGCAGCAGTGGTTAAAGGGCACACTTAAACTTCTAGGTAAGCCTACCTCTTGCAGGAAAATTGTATTTTTCATGCTGGTGTCCGTTCAAATTAGTTGTAAATGTCAGCCTAGGTAATTTTGAGTTTTTCATATATGAGATGTAACCTTTGGGTTTTCTAATGAAGTCCTAAAGTATTTATTGCCAGAATATGTTTTTAGTGCCTGTTTTGCCTTATTATTATGTACATGAATCAAAGCCTTCTCCAGGGCTCTTCTGGACTCAAGAGTATGTTTGTTTTATGTCTTTAACCTAAAATGCATTAAGAATCTGTCAAAGTAGGGATTATTCGCTAATAATTCTTAACAGATTTGTGCTTAAAAATCTAATTTTCAACAGCCTCACTGTCATACTGTCGTAGGTGTGTTCTTGCCTGCAACACGGAAAACAGAGGAATTATCTACATGATTAGCTGTGACAACCAGCTTCAGAGCAGCTGTATTTTGTTGACTCTGGCCTTGACATACACTTTCACCAAATAGTACAATACTTCACTTTGAGGCCTGCATAAAGATTTTTATACTTGGCAGCTAGTGAATTTTTAATTGAGAAAATATGTTGAATTTAAAAAGCTAAATCTTGAGACATTCATATTTCAGATATTGGCTGTAATTGTTTCCCTTTGGTGCGAACATCTTGGCCCTCATTTTCCAGAAGTGTAATGTTTTGCATCCCTCCTGAAATGTCAGGATACTTAGAGGTACTGTGCACTTTCTGAAGACCAAGTACTTAGTTCTGAAAAGACACAATTAAACATATTTTCTAGTATTTAGGCAGGGTTGAAGATAAGCCATTAGTGTTTCTACTGTACATTTTTTTTTAATGAAGTCAGAAGCAATTGAATATTTGTGGATGAAAAAAAACTCCACAATATACCATTCTGTAATTTAAAGTTAAATTTTGTCAGCATGTATATGGAAAACACCATCAAATATTTACAGAATTTTACAGAAGTTTGCAAATCACTTAAAGTAGGGATCAATTGTATTATGCTCCAGGAACATTTATTAATTTTGAAAAGCCAGTCAGTGCTTGGATTAAGGCTGCGATCGAGAATTCCTTTCCTAAGGAAAAGAAGTGATGGCTGTTGTGCCACTCTTGCAGGCGGGACTGAAAAACACAGCCCAGAGTTAATGCAGTGGGGATGAAGACAGAGATCTTTTCTGAGCCAAGTCCTGGATTTTACACGGACCAGACTCTGCAGTATGTCCTTATGTGACTGCAGGCACTTTATTGGTGTCCCCAAATGAAATCTGGCTCTACTGTTCTGGCGGAAGCCTGCAGATGAGTGTGCATGTAGCTTGTGTTTGCTTTAGGGCCTGTGGGCATCGCCAGTCTAGGGTAAAAGGCTGTCTGAGTGGCTGAGAATCAGGTCCTACCTGCCTATAATTCAGAGGTCAAAGGAAAGACTGAGCCTTTTATGAAGGTGATGAAACATCAGGACATCCATTTGAAATATTACAGCTTGTGATTTTTTTTCTATCTTTGTTCAGCACACACCCTTAGCACTTCCCATTGCCACCAACCCAAGTGCCAGCCTTTCTTTCCTGCCTGTTAGAGAGGAAGTGTTAGCAAGTCCTTAGTTAAGTAGCAAGTCCTCAGCAAGCACCAATTCCCTAAGTGTAAACACTGTGAGGGGGAGAAACAGCCAACAGCCTTCCAGGGGATGGCTTTTCCAATAAGCTCTGTGACAGATGACAGCTGGAGGATTTTAAATGCAATTAGTTTGATACACTTTCAAGACTTTTATAGAAATGTCTTAATAAGTGGAACTTTGAAACTAGTTCAGTTTCTAGGCTTTTCTTAACAGGCTTCTTTAGTCCCTACAATATAAGAACTTGAACCAAACAATTCATCATGTGTTACATACAATTTTTCCACGTCCTGCGCTATGACATTGCATCATTCCACAGTGTTGATTCACGACACATCATTGCAAAAGCATAAGACAAAATCAAGTTCCACACTGGAAGAATATGCATGAAAAGAGAGAGTGAGGTTTGGCAGAATCTCAAAGGCTTTGGAGTTCAGAATCAGTGCAGACAAAAAACAAATGTTCAGTTTCTTATCTGAACTTAGAGCATAGAGATCTCACAGCAGATTCATGTGACACTTCCCAGCTCAATCACATATTCCAGCCGTGAGGTTCCTGATATGTGGCTCTGTAAATCATCTCTGCCTTCTTCCTCTGTCTCATTCCAATTTTTCCACTCTTTTCCCCCTCTTCTGATTTTAAGAACACCTAGCAAGAGGGCTGAAGGAAGTTGGAATAAGGAGCTACCTGTCCCCTTCCTAATCTCTTTTAGTTTTACAGCAGCAGACATGCCAGAAGATTATTTCCCTTTCCAGAGCCTTGGGGCATAGGCAGGGATATAAATGTTTAGCTTCTCCCAGGAGTGGCAGCTTTAAACAGGACAGTTGTCTCCAGTCCTTGCAAGGAGGTGGGTTTTGCAGACAAAACTGCTGTTGGCTCTACAACAGCTAGGTGAAACTGAAGCTCGCATGGGTCCAAAGTATTCCTTGTCGCGGTGTCGCAAGTGGGAGGCACAGACTTCAAGGAGGTCTCATCTTTACCCAAGAGTATCATGTGCTGCTTGAAGCACCTGGACATAGTCAGCAGCAAGTTCAGTGCAAAGAAACTCATCTGGTAAAGGCAGGTGCTAGACCTTTCATGGATGAAGGCCTCAGGGGACAGGGAAAATTTGTTTTCAAAGAAGGCCACAGGGTTACAACTCTGTCAGACCCGCTCATCTGCTGCAGTAAGCAGCATCTGCTGCTGCTCTGCTGGCCTTGCGTCAGGTGACTGCAAACAGATGTCGGTTTTGGCGGGTTCTCTTCATCACATCTGCAAGGGAAGTCCAAGCACACGTGCCTCTGCTTGCTTAGCCTCAACACAAGAAGTGCTTCGCATGTCTTTTCCGTACCTCCTTTTGGTAGGAACTTTGTAAGGGAAAAATAGTGTGTCAGGCATGTGCTGGGAGGAATTGCTAATGGAGGACTGTACTGCATATGCGGGCAGAAAAACAGAGCAAGAGGGGAGCACCCTGTATTGCTTAGCACAAAAGCTGCCATACATTCTGTGAGGGTCAGTGGCTTCTTTTCTGCTTGTGGTCTATCATGGCAACCTGGGAGGATCTAGAGATGGTGGAACAGGTCGCCCTACAGAGAGGTAGTAATTAATGTAGGTGACTGTTACATGGCTACAAGTATTATGAACTTGCTTGGAAAAAGTGCTATTTTCTGGCCAGTGAGAGGCCTGAAAATGGTATATGCTGGAGCTGGTGGAGTGGAAGGGAGGGAAGATAGTTTATTTCTAGATCCAGAGGGATCAATTTTTTTTTTTTTTAAAAAAGTCGTCTTCCAGAGAGTCTTGAAGGTCTTAGAGCATCTAGAACGGACAATTCTACGTGGTGCTACTGAGCAAACCCATGTTGTGTCCAAGGGACACTTCCTGGCATCTGAATGAAGATTTGAATGCAGAATCCACATTCTGCATTATTCTGATGCTCCTAAGAGCATCAAGAGCCTTCAGAAATGTTCCTCATTAAGGCTAGACATTTGTCTACACCTGCAGGGATGCGTGGCTTGTCCCTAACACTCCTTCATACCTGTCCCTTGCCCAGTTCATTTGAAGGCTGAAAAGCTTTGGGCTGGGATTTGGAAGAGAAGCAGAGTTAATAGCTTTGATGAATTGATTTCTTCTTATCTGTAGATAAAAAATCTAGTGTCTTTTCTCGTACATTAGAAAAGTGAGATTGCTCCCTGTGGCATTCCCTACCGTCCATCACAGACCATAACCACAGCTGTTTCACTGGAGGCAGGTGTTGGTAGGAGGAGTCCAGGCAAATTTTTATAGAGGTCTAGTGTCCTTTCTGGCAGTTGTACCCAAACGGTAGTGATGGGAAAGGCCGTTCTTGCCATCAAACTCCTTGTGGATGGAATTCCACAGGGATCTGTTTTCTTCCTGCCTCGTTTCATATTTCAGTGCAGCCCGCAGGAGCCCTCTGGCATCAGCAGGGTGCTGGCAAGAGACACGTTAGGCCCTTCCCCGCAGTCCCTGGTAGTCAGGGCACTCTCCAGTCAAGGGCAAGCGCGCAGGAGCGCGCGCGCTGCCTCAGCCGATGTACTAAGAGCTCCCCCTTATGTTTAGTCATATTTACTCTGCCAGTCATCCCAACCGCTGGCCGAACGCCATGTACGTGTGACACAGGGCGGGCAGGAGCGGGACAGGAGTTGTGCCTGTGCACAGGTGGGAAGTTTGTGTGACACAGAGCGGGCAGGAGCGGGACAGGAGTTGTGCCTGTGCACAGGTGGGAAGTTTCAAGGAGCTGCCGAGAACGACTGGGCCTCCAGCTGGCAGGGAGGATGTGCTCACAGACTAGTGAAGTAGGGCCTGGCCATGCCAGCAAGTGCCCTTGAATTTCTGTGGCTTAGCAAGTTACCACTCATGCGCTGAGCAGTATGGACCCAGCCCGTTTGCAAAGGGCAATGGGCCAGCTTGAACTGTCCCAAGAGATTTGTGCAGGGTCATGGGCTGGACACGTTCCTCCTTGTGCTTTGGGTGACCTGTG